GCTCTGCTAGAATTTTGAACTCAGGGTCTTGCATTTGCTTGCTTGCTTGCTTGTCTAGCTGGCATTCTACCACTTGAGCCATGCCACCAGCCCTGATTTTTTTTGCTGTTTGTTTAGTGTCTAGTAAATATGTTTTTTTGCTTGGGCTGGCCTCGAATTGGGATCCTGTGGATTGCAGGTGTCAGCCACCGGTGCCCAGTAAGTCATAGCTTTTAAAAACAGAACTGTTACAAGTTTGGCAGAATCTGCCAGTAAACTTGTCTGTGACTGAAGTTTTCTTTGAGGAAGGATTTTAGGCGGTAGGTTCAATCTGTTTAATTACTAATAAGACTAGGTAGGTTATCTATCTCTTCTCTCTCTAGTCAGTTTTCAAAGTTTTTTATCCATTTCGTCTACGCTGTCAAATTTCTTGGCCGAAAGCTGTTGCAAGTTTGTTTTATTATTCCATTATTGCTGGTTTCTAGTAATAATAATTTTCTTCTCCTTTTCCATTTTGACAAATTTACCAAGCTTATTTTATTGATAGGGATCATTGTTTTTTCCCCCCTTATTTGGCCAGGTATTATTTCATAAAATGTTGTCTTTGTTATTCCTTCCTTCCACTCTGGGATTTCTTTCCTTTTTTATTGTTTGGGTGAAAACCCTGGTCACTGATTTTTAGCCTATTCTTATTTTCTAATATAAACACACAAAGCCATAACCTTTCCTACAGTTGATATTTTATCTCTCATCATGATACTTCTTGTTCTGATATCTACTTGGTTTAATATTAACCCAATCACTTCGGTGTTCTTTTGATTAGTGTTTACATGGTGTATGTTTTCATATTGTTTTAGTTATATGACACAAATTTTGCTATACTGTTTTTATTCTCATGTAGTTAAAGGTATTTTCTAATATCCTAATGTGATTTTTTTATTCTTTTATGAGTTATTTAGAACTGTGTTGTTTAGCTTCCCTCTATTTGGGGATTTTCCAAGTATCTTTCATCATGGATTTGTAATTTAATTGTGATATGTTCAGGAAATGTTTGTACTTTGTATGATTTTACTATCTCATGATTATTGAGCCTTGTTTTGTGTCCCTGGATAAGGTCTACATTGTGCCTTTGGAAGCAGAATGTAGTGTATCACTGGGATGGAGTGTTTTCATAGATGTGCATTAGATCCTGGTGGCTTTATGTTCAAATATTCCACAAAAATATATTTATATATATATTTATATCATACAATAAATATATGTTTATTTTATATAATACACTTGTATTTTTATAAATAAATGTATATAAATATACACCAATATACTTTTTCTCTGAATTACTACAGATGTGTGACTGTATGGGTTGTAACACAATTGTGGATTTGCCTCAAATTTGCTTTGGTCAGTCTTTGTGATATCTGTTTATATTAATGATTATGCAAACATATGATATAATTACTTCAGTTTTCTTTTGATTAGTGTTTACATGGTATATGTTTTCATTTTTATTTATAACACACTTTTACATTTAATGAGATTTGTTTCTAGCTAGCACATAATTTAATATTCCTGTTTAAGATTCATCCTGACAGCCTATGCCTTTTACTCATATTTAGACCATGTATTATAAATGTGACTTACAAAATAGTTGGATTTGTATTAATCATCTAGCTGTTTGTGGGTGGGTGTGTGTTTGTATATGTATGTGTATACTAAGATTGGGGCTTGTATTCAAAGTCTTGCCATTTCACTCAAGGCTGATGCTCTGCTACTTGAATCATGACTCCAGTTCTGGCTTTTGTTTGTGTTGGTCATGATGCTTGAAATCAGGGCCTAGGAGCTATCCATGAGCTCTTTTGCTCAAGGCTAGTGCTCTATCTCTTTGAGCCACAGTGCCACTTCTGGTGGTTAATTGGAGACAAGAGTCTCACAGACTTTCCTGTCTGGGCTGGCTTTAAACCATGATCTTCTTGAGTAGCTGGGATTACAGACGTGAGCCACCAGCACCCAGCAAGCTCTGGCTTTTTATTGGTTAATATGAGATAAGAGTCTCATGAACTTTTTTGCCTGGGCTGGCTTTGAAAGTTGATTCTCAGATCTCAGCCTCTTCAGTCACTAGGACAATCGAAGTAAGCTTTTGGCATCTGGCTATTGTCTTTTTCTTCATCTTATTTTCATACCTCTTCTCTTTTGCTTCTAATTATATCTCCTTTTTAGTTTATGATTTTTCTTCAGTCTCGGTTTTTTAACTAGAACTCTTTTTTTTTTCTTTTTTAATTTCTTAGAAGTTATTCCAGGTTCGTTATTTGAAAACTTGTTGGTGTTTGGGCCAGGAGACTTTCATAAAATATTAAGGTGCTTTTCAAAAAGCTTTCATGTATATGAATTATCTAAATTGCTAATCACTACAGTAGAGGTTAAAATTTGGAAACAAAACATGTAAATTCTTCAAAAATAATCACCATAGCTCATTATGTACTAATAGCATATTACTTTAAAAAAAAGATTTTCTAAAACCAAAATAATTTACTGAGAAGAGTGTTATGGTTTGGATCTTGGGGAAAGTGCTTTGCTGTCTAGCTAAGTAGCTCAGTACCCATGTCTGCATTTTCTCCATAGGGTAAGCAGTGCTAACATAAGTCATGCTAGCTCTGGACAATTAACTCTGTTGAACATTTTTGAGACAATGAATGTTTAGAAAAAAAAGAAGAAGAGCGCTGGGAAGGTGGCTCAGTGGTAGAGCGCTTGCCTTGCATGCATGAGGCCCTGGGTTCGATTCCTTAGCACCACATAAACAAAAAGAAAAAAGCCAGAAGTGATGCTGTGGCTCAAGTGGTAGAGTGCAAGCCTTTAGCTGAAGAGCTGAGGGACAGCGCCCAGGCCCAGAGTTCAGGCCCCATGACTGGATCCAAAAAATAAAAATAAATAAATAAATAACATTAAAAAAAGAAGACAAATGGAATCTGAGTATTGATCAAATAACTCAAACTCTTTCACTCCTGGGAAGGTCTTAGATATGCTTATTAGCCAATGACTAGTATTCTCAAGTGTATTATGTCGTTTTCACTTCTCACAGGATAATTTAAATATTGCTCCATTCCACATAAGTGATCATTATAAAGGTGGCTGTCTATCTAAATCATCCATCAGTTGTGCTGCATTACTGCCACAACTTAACAACTTCTATTTGATAAACTCCATGATAATTTTTTAAAGTTTTGCCTCAAGCCATTATTTTAGTAAGAGTTAGAAAAGTTTTTTAAAAAAATATGAGCACATGTATTTATCATTTTTGACATTCTTTGTTTCTTTGTGCGTAGGCCAAGTTTCCATCTTGTTCACTCCCTTTAACAGCTCTTTCCTTGCACATCTGCTGCTGCTGCTGTTGAATTCCTTTGACTTTGATTTCAAAACATTTTTATTTCCTTTTCCTTTTTTTGGGGGGGGGGGTGGCTGTGGGGCTTGTACTCAGGGCCTCAGCACTGTCCCTGAGCAATTTTTGCTTAAGGCTAGTGCTCTACCCATTTGAGCCACTGCTCTATTTCTGTTTTTCTGGTGCTTCATTGGAGATGAGAATCTCACAGACTTTTCTGCCCAGGCTGGTTTTGAATCGTGATCCTCAGATCTCAGCCTTCTGTCAGCCACCAGTGCCAGGCTCATTTTCCTTTTTTGAAGGATTTGTTTTTTTTTTTTTTACTGGGCATAGAATTATAGGTTTATACTTTCTTCTAGTCATGAGAATAGTTGTTTAGGGTTGGGATGGTAGCTCAGGAATAGAGGTTGAGATCTGAGGATAGAGATTCAAAGCCAGCTTGGTCAGACAAATCTAAGCGACTCTTTTTATTTTTGTCGGTTGTGGGTCTTGAACTTGGCCTGGGCACTGTCCCTCAGCTCTTCAGCTCAAGGCAAGTGCTCTATCATTTGTGCCACAGCGCCACTTCTAGTTTTCTGGTGGTCTATTGGAGATAAGAGTCTCATGGACCTGCCTACCTGGGCTAGCTTTGAACTGTGATCCTCAGATCTCAGCCTCCTGTGTAGCTAAGATTACAAGTGTGAGCCACCAGCACCCAGCTCTAAGTGACTCTTATTTCTAATTCACCAGCAAAAGACTAGAAATGGAGGTGTAGCTCAAGTAGTAAAGCTCCAACCTTGAGTGAAAAAAAAAAATAAGCAAGAGTGTTGGTACCAGCTCCCGTCTCCCATCCTGACACACAATTTCAAGTCAAATACATTGGTGCATACTTGTAATCCCAACTACTTGAGACGCAGACACAAAAAGATCATGAGTGTATCAAAACCAAAAATACAAACACAAGTTCAAGAGATAGAGCATTTGCCTATTATGCTTAAGGCCCTGGGTTCAATATTTAGTGCCACAAAAAAATTTAACAATTAAACAACCAGTTTGAAGAAGGTGATGTCAATACATTCTAGAGACATAGCAATGAACAAGAGACCATTCTAACATATTATCAGGCAAAGTGTATACCACAAGTTAGAATGCATATTGCTGTAGCTAGGCATTCTAATACTAAATTGAAGAGAAGTGGAGAGAGTGGACATCCTTGTCTCATTCCTGAGTTTAGTGGAAATGGCTTTAGTTTTTCACCATTGAGTATAATGCTGGCTGTAGGTTTGTCATATACAGCCTTTATTGTATTGAGGAATGTTCCATGGATTTCTAATTTTTCCAGAACCTTCATCATAAAGGGGTGTTGGATCTTGTCAAATGCGTTTTCTGCATCTATTGAGATAATCATGTGGTTCTTATCCACTATCTTGCTCTTGTGGATGTGATGAATTATATTAATTGATTTGCGTGTATTGAACCAGCTTTGCATCCCTGAAATGAATCTGTGTTTTATGAGTTCTATCACATTGCATGAATGTGAGTTCATGTGGTCTTTGACCACATTTAGATGGTTCCCGAGTTTCATATATGTGACTGTCTATTTTGCTTTTCCCTTTTCTTATTAAAAAAAATTAAAACAGGAGACACATACAGATCCTATTTGGGCATCATGAATCATTTCAATACTTCCTTGATGATTAATTATACCCAAGCAAAACCAGGGCCCATCAACTTCCTCCCGGCCATCACGTCCCTGGAATCAAGCTACAAGGACCGCTTTCCCCACCGCAACCTGACCCATACATTGAGCCTGCCATGGAGGCCAAACACGTACTACAGAGTGTCCTCCGACTTCCCTAACTTGGGCTCCTACTGCACTCGAGCGCAGAGGGTGGGCGAGAGCACCATGGTGCCCTTTGTTTCCAACAGAACATCGCTCTTCACCAAGTACACTCATGACGACTGGTACAAGTCCAGCTACGACAGTTTCCAGGAGTCCAATACATCACGACACAATTCAGAGAAACTCAGAGTGGATACATCCCGCCTCATTCAAGAGAAATATCAACAAATCAGAAAAACCCAGGTGGACACGACTCAAAACCTGGGAGAACGGGTCAATGACATAGCGTTTTGGAAGTCTGAAATCATTAATGAGTTGGATGAGATGATCGCAGAGACAAATGCCCTGACGGATATGAGGAGACGATTGGAAAGGACACTGACAGAGACAGAAGCCCCTCTACAGGTAAGTAGACCACAAAGGTCATGTCCTACCCGGGTGATAGCTTGGTGAATGAATTTCAGAACTGCTTTATATATCAAATCCTGCTGTATTACACCACCAGCAGCAACCGCTTGTCCATACACCTTTAAGTGGGTTTACTAGTAGCAAAAACATTGCTATTTTTATTGTAAGAAGGAATTCTGGCTGCATCTGAGGGGAGTGTTGAACTCAGAGCTTAGAGCTTGTTAGGCTGGCACACTGTCACTTGATCCATGCCACCATGCCATCAGCCTGGCTTTTTGCTGGGTGTTTGGAAGATGGGAGTCTCACAGACTTTTATGCCTGGGGTTGGCCTTGAACCGCAGACCTCTGGATCTCAGCCTAGGATTTACCTGCTGGCAACTCAATGGGACACACAGGGTTTCAGGTGGAATGCCATCTTCTCATCTCTTAAATGGGTGTCTTTGCTCGCTGCTGGCACTAGGTTAAGAAGTAAAACTTAAGAACAACAATTTTTCAACAAAAATTACTCTCTTTGTGATGTCATGCACACAGCCTCTGGCTATGTATATTATGATGTTGTTCCTCAACAGTAGTTATCAAATGATACCATTTTAGGAGATGGAGGGATTTTTATTGGGTAGAAAAATGGAACAGAGGGCAGGTTGGTTGCCATGGTGACCGAATTGACGTGGGTTCCTGTCACCTCTGACCAATGGGCCCTCCGATTCCATTCTGCCTTCCACTATTGAAAGAATGCATTCCATATTTGAGGATGTGCAAAGCAGATAAATGTGTGTGTGTGTGTGTGTGTGTGTGTGTGTGTGTGTGTGTGTGTTGGTACTGGAAGTTTCCATTCAAACCCTACGTTCTTGCTCATTTTTTTCTTGCTCATGGCTGGTGCTATACCACTTGAGCCATGCCTGCAGCCTGGCTTTTTGCTGGTTAATTGGAGAGGATGTCTTTTGGACTTTCTGACCAGGTTGGCTTTGAACTTTGATCTTCCAGGTCTCAGTCTCCTGAGTATCTAGGATGACAAGTATGATCTATCAGGGCTTAGTTCATATGACTTATTCCTTCATGAAAAGCATTGATGATAGACTTGTATCACCGCATCTGCCTTATAAGAGTTCAGAGAAGGCCAGTGCTTATAATCCTAGCTAATCAGGAGGCTGAGATCTGAGGATTGCAGTTCAAAGCCTGCCTAGGGAAAATAAAAGTCTCTGCGAGACTCTTATGTCCAATTGACCATTCAAAAACTGGAAGTGGAGCTGTGGCTCAAAGTGGTAGAGCCATTAGCCTTCAGCAAAAAGAGCTCAGGGACAGGGAGCAGGCCCTGAGAAATGTTTAGAAGACCTAAGTGTTGGAAATCTGGAAGAATGAGGAGTGTTGAGCATCTTTGAGTGCTATCATTTTTTATTTCCTCATCACTAACTGCAAATACCCACAAATACACACAGCTCCAAGATCCTGCACAAGGCTGCTCATGTACATGTGCTGTCTTTTTAAAGTGATTAGCCCCAAATTGCTGACAAATCTGAAATCCTTCTATGCCCTTCTCCCTGCCCTCGCCGCCCGCCCGCCCCCCCCCCCACCCCGCCTTGAAGGACTGAAAGTCTCCTCAAAATCACAGGCTCACCACTCTCTAACTTCAATTCCACATGAGCCTTTTCTGACTTCTCTTCACTGGCCTTTCTGTGGTGACATCTGTCAGTGAGAGGGTGCTAACGTGACTTGTCTCTGCTGTTGGTGGGTGTCCAGATGTTTTTGTGTGTTGGCACACTTCACTGTCATCATTGCTAGGGCTTGGTTAAAATTAGAGTTAGTCACCTAAACAGTACATCTCAAAATGGCAAAATACAGATAATCGAGCGTAAGGAAGATGGTTAAAGCTTAACAATACAACATAAATTTAATCAGTAAGTAGCCATCATTGGCCAAATTTGGGATGATGAGCCTAATAGCAGAAGATGAGCACTTGCATATGTTCTGTGTTAGTCTGGGGATGGGTAGAAACTTCCTGGGAAGCTATTTGGTAATACCTGCTTAAAATAAGCAGAGTCTCCTAAACCCATTATTCATGCTGGTAAATGGAAATTATACCATCAAGAGTTAGATTCCAGCTGGGTACTGGGAGCTTACTGCTTAGGAGGCTGAGATCTGAGGATCAAGGTTTGATTCAAGGTTTGGCTGAGGTAGACAAATCCTGGAGACTCTTATCTCCAATGAACCAGCAAAAAGCCAGAAGTAGAGTTGTGTCTTGCGTGAAAGAGTCCTGAGTGAAAAAAGCCACATGAGAGTGTGAGGCCCTGAGTTCAAGCCCTAGAAGAAATCTTCATAAAAGATTAGAGATTGCCTCAAAGATGTGAGTCAATGATATTCTATCAAAATTAGTTACATGCTCTTATAAAAAAGCTTCTAGAAAATTTAACATTATGTGGTAGTTCCATGTCATGAAATAGTTTTTAGAAAGCCTTTGAGTAGCTACATAATGTCTGTTCATACATAATTTATCGTTAGCAATTTATGATGTTTTTCACTGGAGTCATTTACGTACTCTGTCTCAAAAAATGTTTTATAATCTGGCTCTACTATTTAATATAAATCTTCAAAAAGTATAATACAAAATTATAAGGATAATAGAAAATTAAAATGCATGAATGAAACACTGATAGGATTATGATTGAATCATATTCTCTATATTTTTATGCTTAGTGGATCGAAGCATATTATTTTATAATCAGGTAACTTAGAAATGATTTTTTAGGGCTGGGAAGGTGGCTCAGTGGTAGAACGCTTGCCTTGCATGCCTGAAGCCCTGGGGTCAATTCCTCAGCCCCACATAAGCAAAAAGAAAAAAGCCAGAAGTGGTGCTGTGGCTCAAGTGGTAGAGCGCTAGCCTTGAGCTGAAAAGCTGAGGGACAGTGCCTAGGCCCAGAGTTTAGGCCTCAAAAATGATTTTTTTAAACAATGGTCACATGGGTTTTTGGCTCCACAATATTTTGATATAAAAATAATCATGTCTTCTTCAGGAGTAAATATTTGGAAATATTCTGAAGTCTATGTTTCATGCTATCAAATTATTTCTCTTAAATCATTGCCAAATAATTTTTCCATATACCAATTGGTGGGAGTAATAGTCAGATACTTGTTTTCTTTTCATCTTTAAATCAATACCCCAAATCAACATTTTGTCCCAAATTATTTTGAAATGTTCTTTCTCTTTTTAACCAGCAGAAAGAATTATTTAATTCTTACAGTCTTTTCATGCTTGATTTCCACAGGATGGCTTTAAGAGATGACATTGGGAGTATTTGTTGCTTTTTTTGTTTTAGAGCTCACCTTATTGCTCCGGGACTCACCTTAGTGTGGCTTTTTCACTCAGCTGGTACTTTACCATTTGAGTCATGTGTCCAGTCCTGCATTTCACTGGCTAATTGGAAATGGAATCTTGCAGACATCTCTGTCCAGGCTGACCTAAAACCATGACACTCCAGATCTCAGCCTCCTGAGTAGAGAGGATTATAGGCATGAGTGCCAAGCTTTTTGGCTACTTTTGGAACAAGAACTGCTAGTCATTGATTGAGATCATTGGTATTAATGTATTCTGTTATTTTGGATGTGTTACTTAGGTTACCCGAGAATGTCTATTTCATCGGGAGAAGAGAATGGGAGTTGATCTAGTTCATGATGATGTCGAAAGAGAATTGTTGATGGTAAGTATGGAGAAAACAAGTTGGTAACAGCAGCAGCACTGTTGTAAACATGCTTAAGGTACAGAAATATAAATGAAGTAACATAAAGTTACTTATAAATGAAGGCTTAGGCCATCTAGCACTTTCAATGTAAGTTATACAGATATTGAGAAATAGCAAAATACAGGAACAATGGAGCTTTTAGCTCCATTAGGCAGAAATTGGTGTCGATTTTTGAGTATTTCAGTCATTACATTTCCTCTGTCAACAGCCATCCCACACAATAATACAAAGAGACCCCAGGTGTTGGTGACTCACACCTGTAATCCTAGCTACTCAGGAAACTCAGATCCGAGGATCATTGTTCAAAGGCAGCCTAGGCAGGAAAATCTGTGAGACTCATCACCAATTAACCACCAGAAAACCTGGAAGTGGAGCTGTGGCTCAAATTGATAGAGTGCTAGCATTGAGCAAAGAGCTCAGGGACAGTGCCCTGGCCCCGAGTTGAAGCCCCATGACTGACAAAACAACAAAACCAAACAAAATGCAGAGACATATCTTCAAGATTAGAATCATACTGTATTCATGGATTTGAGCAGTGCTGTCTTTAAACTTTTATTTGGTCAATTTTACCTTGTCACTAGCTATTCCTTTAAGATGATTTTTACAATGATGACACCATCTTCTACATTGTAAAAGTGCTGTTATTAAATTCTGATAAGATAGTTACATTTATTTCCTTATTTTTTTAATTTATATGGGGGTTTGAACTTAGGCCTTCAGCTTGCTAAATAGGAACTCTGCCACAGTTTTTGCTTTAGGATTTTTTTTTTACATTTATGCCTGGTCAATCTGGACCACGCGCCTCCTATTTATGCTTTCTAAAATAGCTAGATTGACAGACACTTGCCATCGTACATGGCTTGTTTGTTGACATAGAGTTTTGCCAACTATTTTGCCTGGGCTTTTCTCCATCTGTGATCCTCTTGATCTCTGCCTCCCTGAATAGCTATAATTACAGGATTCTGGATCCCCTGGTAATCTTAATGAACTGAAATTGTCTCAAAGATCTAAGTCATGAAAAAAATATGGGGCTGGGAATGTGGCTTAGTGGTAGAGTGCTTGCCTAGCATGCATGAAGCCCTGAGTCTGATTCCTCCATACCACATACATAGAAAAAGCCAGAAGTGGCACTGTAGCTCAAGTGGTAGAGTGCTAGTCTTGAGCAAAAAAAGCTCAGGAACAGAACCCAGGCCCTGAGCGCAAGCCCTAGGACTGACAAAAAAAAAAGAAATATGATTGAAATAAATGGACACACCATGTTTACATTTTGGAAGAATTAATTGTGCTAAGATGGTAATACTAAGTTGATCGAGAGACTCAACACAACTTTTCATGAAATCTCAGCTGACTTCCTAGTAGAAATGGGTTACTGCATCCTAAAATTCACATTGTGATCTAAGGGATACAGAAGAACCAAAATAATAATATTGAAAAAGAATGAAGTTGGAGGGCTCACACTTCCCAACTAAAACACTCAGCGTGAACCTAAGTACATAAGACAGGGCCATGCAGCTCCTGCAGAAAGTTGGGCAGACAAATGGATGGACCAGATGGGAGGATTGAGGAAAAAAAACCCTCACTGTATCCAAACACTGTAATCAAACACCATGTCTTTGACATGCTAGCCAAGACTATTCAATGGCAAATGGATGATTTCTTCAACAGATGTGTTTAGACCTTTGCATAGCCTGGGCAGAAAAGTCTGTGAGACTCTTATTCCAATTTACCAGCAAAAAAGCTGGAAGTGGAGTTTTGGCTCAAGTTGTAGAATGCCAGCCTTGAACGGAAACAGCCAAGTCAGAGTGTGAGGCCCTGAGTTCAAATCCCAGTACCAGCACACACAAAGCAAATAGATCAGAGATTTTAATTTAAGAGATCAAATGGAAAACCTCTTAGAGGAAAAATGTACACAAAAAAGATCTGTTACATTGGAGTTGGTGACAGTTTCTTAGCTATGACACAAAAGGCACAAATAACCAAAGCAAATGTGGATGACCTGGACATGATCACAATCAAAAATTTGTTACTTCAACATCATCAGCAAAGTAAAAGCAAAATCTTCTTTAGTATTTTTTAGTTTCCTATGCTGATCCTTCAGACTTGTACTCAGGGCCTGAGCACTGTCTATGAGCTTTTATGCTCAAGCCTAGTGTACAACCACTTGAGCCACAGCACCACTTCTGGCCTTTGGGTGATTAATTGGAGTCAAACATCTGACAGCCCTGACTGGCTTCGAACTGTGATCCTTAGATCTCAGCCTCCTGAGTAGCAAGGATTACAGGTATGAATCCCTAACACCCAGCTCCCTACTTTAATGTCTTTTTAAAAAGACAAATAACCCACTTTTAAAAAATGAACAAATGATCTAAATCAACAGTTCTTCAAAGACGATATGCAATAGACCCATGCATATATAATACTCGCCTCAACTGATCATTAGTAAATGGATATCCCAATGAAGTACAATGAAATAGGACTCTATGGTTGGTGGAATGGAAAAACAGAACATAGCAAGTGGGGATTTGGAAGAGTTCTGGCCTCACACACTTCGGTGGGAATGGAAAAGGGGCAGCTGCTCTGGAAAATTATTAAATCCACAGTTATCATCTGATCCAGTAATTCTACTTCCAGGTGTCTAGCTACACAGAGAAGAAAACATCTGCTAACACAAACACTATAGGAATGTTTATAGCAATGTCCTCCAGAGCAGGCAATAATTGCAAATGGCACCCTTGTCTATCAGCTGATGAGGAGTAAATAGAGCAGCACAAGAAGTCAAGACGGAAGCCATGGCAAGCATTAGTGGCTCACGCCTGTAATCTGAGAATCGCAGTTTGAAGCCAGTCTGGGCAGGAAAGTCTATGAGACCCTTACCTCCAATTAACCACCAGAAAACTGGAAGTGGAGCTGTGGCTCAAAGTGGTAGAGTACTAGCCTTGAGCAGAAAAGCTCACAGCACCCAGGCTCAGAGTTCAAGCCCCATGACAGACAAAACATATAGAAGAGGGAAGGCATGAGCTGGAGTACAGGCTATGCTTGGAAACCTGTAAGCAGAAGAAGCTGACCTTGTTGGAGACTGATTGATCATACCTGTAATCCCAGCCATTTAAGAGAACGAGATCTAAGGCTTGTGGGTTGAAGCCAGCCCTAGCAGAAAAGTTAGTGAGACTCTTATCTTCAATTAACAATGAAAAGAAAGCTGGGTTTGGAATTGTGGCTCAAGTGATAGAGTGCTAGCCTTGAGTGACAAAGCCAAGTAAGAGCATTAAGCTGTGAGTTCAAGCTTTAGCACTGGTGCATGCATGTGCTACTACTACTACTACTACTACTACTACTACTACTACTACTACTACACACACACACACACACACACACACACACACACACACTGTCTCCCAGGACCACAAGTGACAAAAGCTAGTTTCCTAGAACCACAAGTAGCATGGTTTAATTTCTGTGAAGTTGTCACAGTAGAGAATTCTCTAGAAACACAAAGTACAACAGTGGTTGCTGAGGAGGAGGAGGCTTGCAGGGGGAGTAAACAGGAGCTGCTTTTTGTGGGAAGGTCACAAAAGTATTCTATGCTTTGTTCTGGTGATGGGCTTACTAAACACTATTGAACTGTGTACTTTAAACAGAAGTATATGTCATGCAAACTCTATCTCAAAGAAGCTATTGTTTCAAAGCAAGAAACATTGCTTTAGAAGTTCATATTTTCCAGCTCAGTAGCAGAGATTGCTTTATCTCTCACAAAGTTGAACCAGAGTGGGCATTGTAGCTCACATCTGTCACCCCAGTTACTCAGGAGGTAGAGATATGGAGGACTGAGATTCAAGGCTAGTCCAGGCAGAAGGACTCAACCAGCGAGCCTGGTATAATGGTCATCCCATCTACATAGGAAGTGTGAACAGAAGGATCAGGCATAATTTTGAAACCTTATCCTAAAATAACTAAAGTGAAACAGTTGAGGCTATGGCTATATATACTTAGAAAGTACAAGGCCCAGAGTTCAAGCCCCCATACCGCCAGAAATAAAAATACCACAAAAATTGAACCTATAATTAATTAAGGAGGATGCCTTGGTCACTGCTGAAAATATTAAGTACTGGATGTACCCTGTCACTCATGAATACTTATATTTAAAATACAGTAATAATACATACATATATGTGAATATATGTATATATATATATGTATGTATGTATGTATAAATCCAGGACCCCCAACACCCTTGCCTTCTGCAAACTTTGCTTTTCTGGCAGGTAAGGGCAGCTTGGCCCTGTAATTCCTTCTACTGTAGGATTTCAAAGCCATGACAATGTAGTTATGTACATATTGCAGACCCCTTTGAAAGCTCTTGGTTTTAGGCTTTTCCTGTTCTCATAAACTCTTCTGCCTCCAACCATCCGTCACTTACCATAAATTTACATTTAAAAATTATCACTCAAGAATTTAAAAAATAATCTCACTAGCTGGGCACTGGTGGCTCATGCCTGTAATACTAGCTACTCAGGAGGATGAGATGTGAGGATCCAGGTTTGAAGCTAGCCGGCAAGGGTGGTGGTGGGGGGGGGAGGAGTCTGTGAGGCTTGTCTCCATCTGACTACCAGAAAAGACGGAAATAGAACTGTGACTCAAGTGTTAAGAGATCTAGCCTTGAGGAAAAGTGCTCAGGGACAGTGCCCAAGCCCTAAGTTCAAACCCTAAGACCAGCAAACATGTGCACGCGCGCACACACACACACACACACACACACACACACACACACACACACACCTCATTAAGTGCATTTTCCCAATAAAACATCCCCAGGAATTTTCACTATGTATCTTGTATATTAAAAACACATGGCCCATTATATAAGAGACCCTGAAATTTTTTATATGGTACTTTCTACACATTTCTCCATGCATCCTGTGCCAATATGTCACAAAGACACACAAAAAAATGCACACACATGCACACACATGCATGTACCAGTGTATACTACCCCCTAAGTATTTGAGACAGAGAAAACTGAACAATGCAAAAAACAACAAAAACAAAAACAAAAAATTAATACTGATGCCCAATCCCCAGTGAGACCGTATGAGAAATCTCAGTAGCCACAGTTTGGGGGATTTGACTCATTGTTATCATTAATTGAGAGTATTTAAAAATAGAGCCGGGCCATTATGATAGGCACACTCAATATTTTTATGTTAAGTTACTTAATAAAAGGCAACAACTATCTAGGCATGTTATAAGAAAGACTTCATAACAAAGATAAGAAAGGTGGAGATCAGGGCTGGGAAGGTGGCTCAGTGGTAGAGCACTTGCCTTGCATGCATGAGGCCCTGGGTTCAATTCCTCAGCACCACATAAGCAAAAAGAAAAAAGCTGGAAGTGGCGCTGTGGCTCAAGTGGTAGAGCGCTAGCCTTGAGCTGAAGAGCTGAGGGACAGTGCCCAAGCCCAGAGTTCAGGCCCCACGACCGGACCCCCCCCCCCAAAAAAAAAACCCAACAACAGAAAAAAGAAAGGTGGAGATCAAAAAGTTAGATTTGATAGCTTTTGACAGTATAGAAATCATAATTGTTTCTATCAAAGCGAACAAAACAACAAACATACCATAAAATCCTAGTGCTATAATCCTAACTACTCAGGAGACTTAGCTCTGGAGGACTGAGGTTTCAAACCAGCCTGGACATGAAAATCTGCTAGACTCTTAGCTCCAATTTACCAGTTAAAAAGTCAGGCTGGAGGCATGTTTGAAGTGTTAAATGACAGCTATGAGCAAGTAAGCCAAGCAAGCATGAAGCCCTGATTTCCAATCCTGGTATAAACAAGCAAAAAAAAAAAACTATAAAAAAAACCAAAAAACAAAGACAAATACCATGCATAAAATACCAAGGCAAGGGTCAAAGTGGTTAAATTTATTTTTAACTATCTAATGGAATAGGACTGACTTGTAAATATATTAAGAAGTCATAAATTTATTAAGAAACAAATAACAGAAAAAATAGTGTAAAGAGACAGTTCACATAAATTCAGAGAGTCAGTTAAAACACACACACACACACACACACACACACACACACACACACACACACACACACACACACACGGGTTGGATTCATCCCTGCCAGTCTTCAGAGGCAGGCTGTGTTTTGTTCTGCGAGGTTCTATCATGTTGGGAAAGGTTTACAACATCAGTGGAGGCTGCCTGATGAGTAAGACAAAGAAAGGCTCTGAAGGATGATTTGACTGTATTTGACAAAGCCTAGATAAAGGCCTACTTCAGAGATGTTTAATAAATAATAAATAAACAATAATGGTCACAGGAGTGTTGTTTAAGGTCAAAGAAAAATAAGTCCCTAAAACTGTAACCATGTTTCAACCTGTTAAGATAATTTACCGTTAGTCCTATAAGAAATGAATCTCAGCATAATATTATAATATCATGTAGTATTATATTATGAGGCTGACAGAGAAACTGTAAAATTATTTTCTTGCTTAACCTTGGTTTTCCCAGAAACCAAATTTTTCCTTCATCGAAGAATTGCTCCATTGCTGACTTTGGATGGTTTCCTCAGTAATGAAAATATTAATGTTTTCTTCTTTGTCTTAATTGAGTAGGAACTTGATACTATTCTGTGCTGCCAAGAGAGAATGAAGTTGCACTTGGATAAAGCTATTGCTCAACTTGCGTAAGAGCTTTACCTCTCTCTATAACTGAAAATCTACCACGGAACTGCCCGCTTGTGTGTACCATGCATGTATATCTCTTAGCTTCCTGTCAGGACACACATACTTTTTCCAGTCCAAGATTAAGAGGAGTCATTGGAAGATTTGCTTCAAATTTCTAATTGGAGGAAAAAATTCTGAGCTGGGCACCGGTGGCTCACCCCTATAATCCTATCTACTCAGGAGGCTGAGATCTGGGGCTTGCAGTTCAAAGCCAGCATGGTCAGGAAACTGCCCTGAGACTCTTCTCTCCAATTAACAACCACAAATTCAGAAGTGTAGGTGTGGTTTTAGTGGTAGAGTGCCAGTCTTGAATGAAGCTAAGGGATAGCACTAGGCCCTGAGTTCAAGCCCCAACACATACACACACACACACACACTCACACACACACACTTTTCTCAGATGCAATAGTACAAACCCCTATTCTCATTTGAGCTCTGTTTAACTCAAAGGACTGATTGTTTGCTAAGAGGTCAACTTGCATATGAGTAGCCATTACAGCAGCAGTTAGGAGTCATGTTTATTCTCCATCCTCAGTAAAGAACCACCTTGCTCTGACTATAACATCCGAGCATTCCCTGCACCATATTCATTTCATTCTCTACTTCCTAACTCCAATGCAAATTCCTCATGGGCACTGGGTTCTTGCCTGGCAGCAGTAGGTACTCGTAAGTACCTCCTGTGGTATTTTGTGGCATGTAATGTATGTCTGTGTGGCAGGGGGAAAGAATAACAATCAAATGAAGGTGTTAAATGAGTCTAGGTTTCTATCAGACTAGAAAAAGGTGTTGGCTGAGCCTGTGACCCGAAATAGCCAAGGAAGGCTTTCATGCTTGTGCATACCACTTAAGAATTCACCAGGGCACATTGTTTGCCCCCATTCCACCCTAGTTCTGACAGGCCAAATGATTCATCAAAGGCACAGGCTATGTGGGAGGGGTTCCTGGTTCAGCATGGGTTCTTCCAACTTGGTGACATCTTTACTGAATGCTGCTAGACTCTTAGGTCTGTTGTAGGTCCTGCAACCACAGTAGAGATTAAGATGATTGTAGCTGCCTGCTTTCCAAAGATTCTATACTGATGACTCTCAACATCTTGTTTCCAGATCCCAACTATCTACTTAGTATCTTCATGGGAATGTGGGATGCACAGTCAAGCTCAGTGTGTGTTCCCCAGCCCCTGTCTCTGCCACCACAGGTGATGGCATTCCATTATTCCAAGGACTCCAACGAAGCTCTCTCTTCTCTGATGAGGTCCAATCTCATAGGAGGTTCTCTTGGCTCTGCTCCCTCCTCTATCTCGTACCTGTCACGGTGGCGGCTTCCCAGTGGGTTTCCTGGGCCTTTTGCCATCTGTTCCAAGTCTAACACCAGAACCATCCTTTCAAATTCTAAGTCAGTGACCGCCAATGATGCTTAGAGAAATCAGACTCCCCCCGCCCCCTTCAATGTCCAACAGCGCTCTGCGTGACTGGACTCTCGTTTTCCTACATCTTTTCTCACTGTTACCTAGGGAGGTTTCTCCTGATATTCCATTTCAGATCATAAGTCCTGCTCTGGGACCTCTGGTTCCTGCTTTTTTATTTTATTTTAGTGTTCTTTGAACCACAAGAACTTCCTGTTCATGCTGTGTACTGTCTGCTTCTGCCCAGGAGAACATAAATTCCTCAGAGAGAGAGACCTTTCTGTCTTGTCTGTTGAGGTCTCTGGGGCCTGCAGTGCTGGACCTGGCAAAATGTAGGCCCTCAACATATCTGCTGGGTAAATTATGCCATGAGCAAATCTGTGGCTCATCTGTTCCCCCCTTGTCCCATGCGTGTCCCTCCTCCTGGACCCACGACTTTGGGCGTGAACTGTGGCTCCCCTCCCTGCCTGGCAGGCATCGCAGAACCCATTTAGGGTCTCTTCCTTCCCTGTAAGGGAGCTGTGGGGCACAGCTCTGGGATGGCCACCAGTTACTCTTAATTACTGCCTTGGAGGTTCATTCTGATCCTTGGTTTACTGCAAGGTCATTGTGGTGAGAGGGAGTATCTCTTGGGGACATATGCCCAAAGAATAGAGTAGAAGAGAGTGAGGATAAACAAGAGGAAAGGGATGGAGGCGAGGAAGGCAGAAACACAGCCAGATTATCATAAAGCAGCCCTCTGTCTGGACAGCTGGAGTGGGTTAGGGTGTTTAAATATACCATCTGCCTAGAGAAAGAAGGGGAAGTATGTTCAGAGCAGGGTTATGGTCTCATGAGGTCCAAGCATAGCCATCCCCATTGAGTAGCAAGTTGAACACTGGGAAGGAAGAGATGAGAGGAGTGAGAGGGTTTTCCCCTTAGAAGATCACTCTCCCCCACCCCTTCCTTATAGGAAACCACTGCCCGCATGTGAAATCTCTTTATTCTGCTGCAGCTCTAACAGAGGGGCCCAGCATGAGCTGGAGAAGGACCTGGGTGACAAACAGATGGCCCTCAGGATTGACGACAAATGCCACCACCTACGCAACACATCGGAAGGCATCAGCTTCTTCCGAGGGGTGGAGAATGTCGATGCGACGTAAGCTGGGCACCAACGAGGCAGCATCTCAGTGGTCCGAGTTCAGTTTCTGTGGCTGTGACATGGGGTGATTTATAAAGAGCAGAGGTTTTTTTGGCCTGTAGTTCTGGAGGCTGAGAAATCCAAAGTGGTTAACTCCTGGGGAGGGGTCTTCTAGAAAAGAGTAGCGGGGGGGGGGTAAAATCTACCAAAAGGGTGAAGTCTGCTAAAGAGAAAAGTGAGAAAGGCTTGCTTTTATAACAAGTGCTTTGGGGAAAGCTAACTCACTACTGTGAAAACGAAGTCACACTCTGCAGTAGGGCTGAGGCTGTGGCTCAGCAGGGTGGTTACCACCATGACTCATCCCCATTATCTTCTGAAATTAAGGCATTCATATATTTTAAAGGTTTTCTCCTTTCTGGGCCTGGAGTTTGAACTCAAGGCCTTGTGCTTTTGTATGGCTCACAGTTGGCATGCTATCACACACATGCTGGCTCCCGCCTGGCTTTTGGCTGGCAGGTTGCAGCTAGAATTTCCTGGACTTTGCTTCCCTAGCTAGTTTCAAGTTTTAATCCTGCAGATCTCAGTCTCCTGGGTAGCCTAGGATTACAGATGTGAACTGCTGGCTTCCAAGAGGACACATTATATATAGACATGGCTTCATGGTTTACAATGATGATATTGGACACAGACAGCCTACTCAATTTTTCATCCTCCCATGCCTACCTTTAAGGTATACTTTTCCTTAGGAAAATTTTCTACAAGCCCTCAGTTTGGGTTCCTTCTTTGCCCTCCAGCTAGGTTGGACTACTTTAATATCTCTACCGGTGGGATGGAAGAAATTCCCTAAGCCTATCTCTCCCATCATGGACCATTTCTTTCTCTTTACTCTTTGCTCTTTGTTTTGTTTTGTTTTGTCATTCATGGGACTTGAACTCTGGGCCTGGGCCCTATCTCTGAGTTTTTCAGCTCAAGGCTAGTGCTCTACCACTTTGAGCCACAGCACCACTTCCAGGTTTTTTCTGGTGGTTAATTGGAGAGAAGAGTCTCATGGACTTTCCTGCCCCGGCTGGCTTTGAACTGCGATCCTCAGAGCTCAGCCTCCCGAGTGGCTAGGATTACAGGCATGAGCCACCAGCACCTGGCTTACTCTTGGTTCTTCTGACGAGGGTTCATAGTGTGTTGCTGCTTTCTGTCTTTGATGACTCCTGAGGTTGGATATTTTTTCTTAACTCTGTTTGGGCTGCTCTGATACTTTTGTAATGATCCTTTGTACTCATATGCTTTGGTAATTCCTCCCCTTCCCCTCAGGAAAGTGGCTGAACAATTATAGCATATGCTTTGAATCGGTTCACAACATCATAAACAGCTATTGAGGGACCTTTCATTTGAAAGGCTTTGCTATGATGTTTGCGTTTTATGCAATGAGACTAGGATCAGAGAGGTACTTGGGGCAGGGGGAGGTGGGGAGCTCCTTCCCAGGATGGAAGATGGCCCACTGCCCTACCAACCTCTAGGCTGAATCCTCTCCACGGCCTGGTTCTCCTTCCCTGCTTTCAGGATCTCCGTGCCTGAGTCATGGGCCAAATTTACCGACGACAACATTCTCCGCTCCCAGAGTGAACGGGCGACCTCTGCCAAGACGAGAGACGAGATAGAAACCTTGCTGACAGTGTCCACCAACGAGATGTGGAATCAGTTCAGTAAAGTGAACTGGTACCTCACCAAGCGCATCGCCGAGCTCGGAGAAGCTAAGAGCAAGATTCAGGTTCACTTAGCAAAGGTAAAAGCAGCCGCTGCTGCTCTGGGCTGACAGGAATAAAGGGGCTGAGGTCCCTCTGGGACCGCAGAAACTCTCACCACCCCCCAGAATGGCGCCAGGAGGCACAGGACCTCCTGGACAGGCAGAGTAAGAAAAATTAAGACTATGCTATTTCTTTCAGCCAGGCAGCCAGGTGTCAAAATTAAATTGGCGTCCGTTGATGTATAGGGCACAATGAATGCACTGTGTAGGGGAAGGTGTTTCAGTATTTAATGGAAACAAAAATATTATGATTTAAATTTAATGAATCACGGTATAGAACTAGGAAATGAGTCTATTATTCGACCATCTGGGAGAGATATTTTCTGTTCAATCGTTTCAGACCCATTTTCTGGAATGCAGAACCAAAGGCAGGACACTGTTACCTACTTCCCAATGACCCTGATAATGTCATTTTTTTTGTCAGTCTTGGGGCCTGACCTCTGGGCCTGGGCACTGTCCCTCAGCTCTTCAGCTCAAGGCTAGCACTCTACCACTTGAGCCACAGCCCACTTCTGGCTTTTTGCTTATGTGGTGCTGAGGAATTGAACCCAGGGCCTCAGGCATGCAAGGCAAGCGCTCTACCACTGAGCCACCTTCCCAGCCCCTCTCTCCCAGTTTTTTCCCTCCTAACTTCCCTACCCCCAAAGTTGCATAGTTCATTTTCAACATCATGTCTAGTGAGTTTCACTACTGAATTGGTTTACTCTTTGTCCCACCGCTCCTGTGCTTCCCCTTCCCCTCCCCAAATCAGATGAACTTATGTACAGGACAAAGAGTACAGGAATCAAAAACAGTGACAGAAGGGAATAAACCAAAGAAAACAGGAAAGAAAAAAAAAAGAACTGAAAACAGTATAATAAAAAACCTTACTTCAATTTCTTGGTGTTCATTTCCATAAGCACCATTTTACATGATCTTATGCATATAACTATTGAGCCCTTGTGTTTCTCTCCTCAGAATATCCTCCTTTGTTCTCGTTATTATTATTAGTTTTTAATAATTGGTTCCTGGTCTTCCCTTGAGTGACTTGAGGGGTGGGGAGGCCATCCTTGGGACATTACTGGTAAAAGAGCCCTCACTTAATTACTCTTTGGGAAGACAAAGACTTTCTAGATGTAAAACACTTATGAAAGAAATCCCAAAGGAAAAGGAATATTTGGCTTAACTAAAAATTGAAATCTTCTGTTTCACAAAACAGAAAAAAAATGAAGAAGCCCACATTGCTTTTCACAAGCATACTAGTAAGAAAGAAACTGGACATGTCTAATGTTTACAAGGCATTACACAATGACTAAGAAAACTACCCACAGAAAAAGGAGCAACAGATACAAGACAGAAGACTTATATAGGAACTTATACAGGAACACAAATATTTAGCCAAGGTTTACTAATACCACCAAAAGAAAAAACACTATGAAAATTAAAGCCATGTTGAGTAACATAATATAAAGGTTTGATAGATTTTGTCATGAAATATCTTTTTTGGCTATCTTAATGAGAAGTATATGATTTAAAAATTGTCTTGCCATAATTAGATTTGTTGCAATGTTTAGAGGTTGATGTACTGATTTCCTATATTATCAGTTTATATTGTATTAAAAATGTATTAAGTACAAATATGAAGCTGGGCGCCTGTGGCTCACGCTTGTAATCCTAGCTACTCAGGAGGCTGAGATCTGAGGATCACGGTGCAAAGCCAGCCTGGGCAGAAAAGTCCAATGAGGCTCTTATCACCATTTAACCACAAAAGGCCCAAAGTGGAGCTGTGGCTCAAAGTGATAGAGCCCCAGCTCTGAGTGCAAAAGCTGAGAGACAACACTCTAACCAAGTTCAAGCCCCAGGACAGCAAAAAGAGAAAAGTACAAATATGTTTACTTTGGAATTCTGAAGTTTCTCACCCAGGCTGGGAGTGGTGACATTTTAATTACCACCTTCCTAACTTGCCCCTCTGGTGGGATTTGTTGATAGGTCTGGCAGAATTCTAGTCACTGAAAATTGTTGAATGACTTTCTCAAAATTAAAATAATTTCCAAAGTGAAAACAAATTTTGTGTGCCAGTACTGGGCCCTGAACATAGAGTTTCACAATTTCACTTGGCTTTGTTTACTCACAGCTCACTCTACTATTTGAGCTATGCCTCCATGTCCAGCATTTTGCTGATTAATTGAAGATAAGAGTTTGCTCAGGCTGTCTTCAAATTCTGATCCTCAGGCATGAGCCATTTTAGTACCTGGCTAAAGTTAAATTTGTTGGTGGTGGTGGTTGTGGGGCTTGAACTCAGTACCTGGGCACCATCCCTGAGCTCTTTTGCTCAAGGTGGCTAGTGTTCTATCACTAGCAGACACAGCTCCACGTCTGGTTAATTAGAAATAAGTCTCTCATGGACTTTCCCACCTGGGCTGGCTTTAAACCATGATCCTCAGATCTCAGCCTCCTGAAGTAGCTAGGATTGCAGGTGTCAGCCACCAGGGCCTGGCTCAAGCAAGATAACCTAACCTGCTTGTTCCCTTGTTGTGCAGCCTTGTTAATGAGGTCTACGAGGTGCACGACACCATCCAAACCTTGCAGCAGCGCCTACGGGAGGCCGAAGACAGCCTACAGTTACTGGTCCACACCAAAGCCACCCTGGAGCACGACCTGGCCGTCAAAGCCAACACGCTGTACATCGACCAGGAAAAATGCATGAGCATGCGCAGGAGTTTCCCCAGCACCCTTCGGCTGGTCGGCTTCTGCTAGGGACCCCCATCAACAGAGATTTTGATACTTCTAGAAACAGGACTGTGTCCAAGCATTTAACGGAGCGCTAATATTTTCACACATTAAAGGATTGTATTAGGATAGAAAAGATAACCATCGCTGGTTATCTTTGGTTTGTGTCTAAGTGTTAATTTTCTGCTCTCTACTAAGCTTATGAGGATGTGAAGAAATATAACCAGTCCAACAGAAAGGGTCAGCAGGCTGATTTGTGTTTCTTCTCCTCCTTCTCTCTCCCACCCCCCACCCCGACTCTTCCTCCTCCCCCTCTCTCCTCTTCTTCCCTCCTCCTCCTTCCTTTTTTGTCAGTTGTGGGGCTTTAATTCAAGGCCTGGGCCCTGTATCTGAGCTCTTTTGCTCAAGGCTAGCCCTCTACTACTTTGAGCCACAGCTCCCTTCTGGTTTTCTGCTGGTTCATTGGAGATAAGAGTCTCATGGACGTTCCTGCCCAGGCTGGCTTTGAACTGCAATTCTCTGATCTCAGCTTCCTGCGTAGCTAGGATTACAGACTATTAGCTCCTGGTGCCCCTGGTACCTGGCCTTATTATTCTATTATTATTCTAACATGAAGAGGCTGGAAAGGGTGCCCCAGGACCATATGCTATAGTTTCATGTTGAATATTTCCCCACAGGGCCAGGTGCTAAAGGCCTGGGGCTCAGAGTGATGCTATTGAAAGGTAGTGGGACATTTATTTATGTATTTATTTAATTATTATTTACTTATTTTAAATTGTCTTAAGTTGAACAAAGGGGTTTCAGTTCATGAGTATGCCAGTTTATGCGTATGATGCATCTTGATCATTCTCTCTCACCTCTCCCAATGCAGGGGGAGCCCAGTGAGAGGTCTTTGCACTCGAGCCCTCCAGCTCCTCCTCCTCTCTCAGTGGATTCCGGACCACTGTTTCCTGACACCTCTGTCATAGACCCAAAGCAAGAGGCTGCTGTTCCCAGGCTAGAACCTCCAAACCACAAGCCCAAATAAACCTTTTCTCTTTGTAAGTGAATTACTTCAGGAATTTTGTTATGCTGATGGGAAACTGAGTCGCACACAACAATAGGAGGTCTCTTTGAGCTCTGCTCTAGAGACTATACAGCAAGACACAGAAAGGTCTCCGAGCCGAAGTGGTTGGAGACCCTTAAGACAAAGCAAAGGGTAGCTTTGGAATAGAGCTCCAAATTCTTCTTACTACTGTAAGTAGACCAATTTGGTTGTGACTCATGTGTAATATATATGCACACCCACATATAATATGTGATATATAACATATAAATTAATATTGTATCAGTATATAACATATGATAATATAGTAATCATTTATAGACATAATTTATATTTATTTTAATTTATTATTGTTTATCATTTATTTAATTCATTATATCATAATATATTTATATTAAATATAATATATCTATATATTAATTCTATAAAGTATTATTAATATAGCAATATATTATATGGTGTATATAAATAATATATTTATGATTAATATATTACACAAACACACACACACACACATATATATATATATATATATATGAAGATGTTTGCTACTGGAAGAGAGGGGAGTGGGTTTCACCTCAGGTTTAGGGGCCTGGGAGCTGGTGGTTGTCAGAGCAGGGAAAGGCCTTTATGGAAGCTTGAGCAATGCGAATCTGAATTGGAGAGGTGGCTATGGGAGCAGAGGAGTTGCGCAGAACAAATCAACAGGACTTGAGAACTCTTCGCAAATAGGGGACCAAGGGTCCCAGAGTAATGAAGGAGGAGTACCTGTGCCAGGAAGGCTTGAAAATGACAGTCCTTGAATTCCTGGAGGGCTGGTACTATCTCAAAGGTTAGTCTTTGTTGTTTTTATAATCATACTCTGGTTGAGTGTGTCGCAGGAATTCATATTGAGAAAACTTTCCTGCCAAGGTCCTCTGTGAATGGTTTCAGGAGAGGAAACCTTAGGAAGGGGTTTGGATCAGGATTGATAGGTATTCCTGGGAGAGGCTTTCTTATTGTAAGTGAGCGCTCTCTGGCTCCCTTGCTCTTCTTCCCAGGTCAGACCTTCCTCCTCCCTGCCATAACCCCACAAGAGACCCTCAGCTATAAGCTCTTGGGTTTCCAGCCTCTGGAACCATGAACTAAACAAACCTCTATTCCTTACAAATTACCTAATCTGTGGTATTTGGTGATATTCAGCTATAGCAGTCAGAACACCAAGGCAACTGTTTGGGGGTTGTTTTCTTTTCATATTACAGATGAGAAGCAGGTGCATAATTTAGAAATTAGAGAAGAATCCACAATACATAAATATTGGGGAGAAAAGTTTCTGAAATATCAGAACACCCAGAAATGACTACTGATGTTTGTCAATCCTGTTGTCTATTTTTTCTGTCCTTTTGAATGTCTATATAATATTTATTTCCTGATTAGGTAACTAATATATAATGTTTCTATTTCCAAAAATAAATAATCTACTGCATTTGTATTTAAATACAGGAGTAACAATATTTGGAATCATTCTACTAACTGTTACTTGAGAAAATCTCTGAAAATACAGAAGCAAAACTATCCAAAACTATGTTTTCTGTATGATTTATACTCCGGCAGATAGGGTCCAAAAGCACTTCTAATTATTTTATGATATCTGAGATTATACTTAGTCTTCTGGAGTTCATGAAAGCTTTGAATCTTTTAGCTCTGGAAAGAGGGAAGTAGAAGACAGATTTTCTCTCCTATTTCTATCTCCACATCTGTCTCTCTTTCTCTTGCTTTCTCTGCTTTTAGTATGTCTATGTAGCCCTGTGCTCCTTTTGCTCTGGCTTAACTACTGTTTAATAACAACAAATTATACTTCCTCCTCCTCCTCCTCTTATTCCTCTTACTCCTCCTCCTTTTCTCCTCCTCCCACTCTCCCCCCTTTACCCTCTCTGTCTCTCTATATCTATCTCTCTGTTTCTGTCCTTTTCTTGGTTGCTGTTTCTCCCACTTTGTTTTCCATCCTTCACTGTTTCTTAAAGTGTTTTAAGACCTTAGTCAATTTCACAAAACATATTCAAATGCCAGAAGAACTGACATCTGCACGATAAACTTGTCCTGGGGTATTTTTGTGGGTTCTGTACATCATTTTAGAAATCAAATTGTAGGTTGTGTTGTTCTCCTTTTGTTTCTAATGGAAACAGAGATATA